TTATTTAGAATGAACAATAACTGCTGTACAAAGAGTAAAAAAAAGAAAGAAAGAAAAAAACATACCTAATGCAGAAAAGCCGCCTCTTTTTCCGAATTGCGTAGATGACCACTATCTTTCTTTCATCTCTTCTGATAAATTTTCAGTCAAATCGTTTTCTGTGTGCTAGATCAGAGCTAGAGCCCTGCATTTCAGCCCGGGCCCGACGGGCCCCGACTTTTTTACGCCCTTCGGGCTGGGCTTCGGGACGATTTTCACGTCAAAGTTCAGACGCGGGCAGGGCCTCGGGCCTGTTTTAGGCTTCTCCTTTTCTGTGTCCTGCAAAGCGCGCTTTATCTTCCACTCTCTATTGGATACAGCGCACATTTATCTAGGTTTAACGTTTAAACATTGTTATATGCTTGAACTGCTTGAACTCTATAGATTTTATTAATGTAAAAACTAAAATGAATTGTAAAACTGAAAGTAATTTTTTAAAATTGTGTTCAGCATGGTGGGCCGCATTTGAATTCGTGATGGGCCGCGGGTTGAGAACCACTGGTTTAATGTATCTCCACAAAAAGGTCTTTCTCACCGTTTCAAAGCTTTGGTGTGAATGAATCTATCCATTTTATTTACATTGGGTTGGGAAACAGTACAGTTTTGTAGCTTTTAGACCATGTCTCTTAGGTCAAGTATATGATAGTATACTCTTAAATACCAAAAAAATACTGCTTTTAGCAGATATACCAAATTTTGAATTCTGAAATGCTTCAGTCATTTTGACCTAGAGAGGATTTTCTTATTCCTGAAAATGCTAGTTAATACAGGGTGTAACAACTTCCCCCCAAAATGGATAATCCCCCCCAAAAATTGGTTATACATTTCCCAAAATGCTATATTATAACTAAATATTGGATTCAATCTTTTTTTATCAACTTGTTTTCTTTCAGTTAGTACAAGTTTTTTGGAAATGATTATTGGTAGGCCTTTATTTTACAAGAAAACAGACAAAATATTCATGCATCATATTCATCTTGCACTAAGGGGTGTGCCAACATTTTTGTTCAATTAAATCCTCTCTAAAATGAGAATGTCCAATTAGGTTCTTGGCAGTGATGTAAACTAAAGCATATTGCCTTTAAACAATAAATAAATAAATTAGTGTTTTCCCGTTTCAATAGGCAATGCGTCAACACAGGAAAGAAAACTACTCATCAGGATAATTGATCAGATTTTCATTTTGGTCTAATATAACACATTGTTGCAATAGATCTTTGTCAACATTTATCTATAATCTACTGAACAAACTTTAAAGCCATTTTGATGGAAATGTCAGTCACAAACAGTATAAATATGTACTGAATTGCTCTACATTAATTAACAGTTTTTTTGTAAGATGAGTAAATAAAGCTTTTCTCCATAGAGCGCTGGCCGAGGTGATGCGCCAGACAGCTCCAGGAGAACATGTGGAGAGAGAGGAGAGCTTGGTGGTGCATGGACAACACTACGAGAACATGCAGGCCAGAGCAACAGGAAACAACCTGCGTAAGTAAATCTGTTCCTTACCATCAGAGCTCATGCACAACAGGTAGAATCCATGTCACTCAAAGCTCAGTTTAGCTCGTTCTGGAAAACACTCTCCGCTGTGACAACCCAATAGTGGCAGATGCATCTTCTTCACCCCAGAGAAGCAGCTGTGAGGTCCTATGGCTATTCATCAGTAAATATATTCGCCTGCATGATTCGACTCCTACTGAGAACAGGGGAAGTAGTTACAGAAGCCCATTTTTGGCGTGTCCGGTGGGCTGCAGTAGCACTTGCGTCTATAGTGATCATTTAACATGCTGAGATAGTAATTATCACAGGCTAAGTGGCTGACTAACACACACACTCTCACACACATAACTCTATCTCTCTCGCTCACTCTCTTTTCACCTCACCCATGCTGTTATTTCATGCAAAAAATACAAATGTGCAGGAAAATATGAGAACTAGCGAATTATCACTTTAAAAATATCATGTTTACTTTGGCAAGTGTTCTAATTTCTTTTATAAAATGGATAGTTCTGATACTGGATGCTGATTGGTCAATTCAGTATATTATAAAACACATACCTGCTGTAAAATAATCACTGATGAATATAATAAAATAGATAGTTCTGGTCCTGGATGCTGATTGGACAATGTGAAATATTATTAAACAGATCATTCTTGTCCTGCATGCTGACTGGTCAATCCAATATATTTTAAAATGCATAGTTCCAGTCCTGGATGCTTATTGGTCAATGCAAAATATTTTAAAACAGACAGTTCTGGTCCTGGATGCTGATTAGTCAATACAATGTCCAGTTCTGGTTTTGGATGCTGATTGGCCATTACAAAATATTATAAAATTATAAAACCTATTTCTGGTCCTAGCTTTTGACTGGTCAATACAAAGAACACTTCATGATATAGTAACAGGCAGCTATGACGTAAAACAGCTGTTCACTATATTATACTATTTGCTCCTATAGCAGATTGATATTTTTGTTGAATTGCGGTGGTCTATTTTGTCTGGAACTGTATAGGATAGACCTGAATGAATTTGCAGAATAAAAAAAAAAAAACGTTTTAATGAAAAATTGTTTTCTTGATATTTTTAATAGGTAGTAACCATTTTATTAAAGCGACAAAGCACTCGAGGCCATACTGTATCTAATTGCTGAACTATAACTTCCTTTAATTTAGCTGAGGCAAAAATGATTAAACATTGCTTTGCAAGTCAATGTGAATATGCCATTTGCCAAAAGATATCTGGCATGAAAAACCAGATCACAGTAAGGCTTCCTCCATAAATAATGATTAAAATGAAATATTACAAGCTAGGAAGTCTAATGCAATAAAGTTCAACCCACAGACAGCACTGATTTACTAACATTGTCTTGTGGCATGTCACAGTGTTGCCATGGTGCTGACAGATTCCCGATCTGTTTCCCAGTTGTTTAGATCAATATGCCTTGCGTCGAGTCAAACAGTTACACTTTATTTGATGGCCTCCTAATGAAAGTCAGAAAAGCAGTTGTAGCAGATGTCATATGCTCTTTTTATAGCCTGCATGTTTCATGCAAACACTCTGACGTGCCTGGTAAGTTATGTTTATGTAACCAAATTGCTGTAGAAAGTCTGGTGGCTTTTATTTTACCACAATGTAATTCAGTGGCCTGACAGCTGTTGCTTTATAGGAATAGTTCACCAAAAAAGAAAATTTGCTGAAAATGTTCTCACCCTCAGGCCATCCATGATGTAGACGAGTTTTTTTTTTTTCATCTGGACAGGTTTGGAGAAATTTAGCATTACATTTGGACTCTCATTCTGACGGCACCCATTCACTATAGAGGATCCATTGCTGAGCAATTTCTCTAAATCTGTTTTTCGAAGAAACAAACTTATCTACATCTTGGATGGCCTGAGGGTGAGTTTTCATTTTTGGGTGAACAATTCCTTTAACTGTGGACAGGGAGTGTAATTTCTGAATTTAAGTGGAAGTGAAAAGCTCTTTGTTGATATTCGGCTGTTATCACAATACATGTTCAAGCTTGACTTTTTCTGTTCATCTCCACTTATTGTCTGAGATGGAAGAAAGGGATTTCTTGAAAAGAAAGCAAATCGAGCACTTAAAGATAGCTGTCTGTTTTGAGCCAGAGAGTGAAATCTGTAGTACACACCCGTGTTTTTCCTGCAACAACACTTGAGAGGCAATGGGGAATGTATGTTAACAGGCTGGCTGAGTGATTGTGCTATGTGCTGAAAGTGCAATGGAGCAGAGCGGAGCGACATGCAGGTGTTGCTCCTCTAAAGAGCTGTCTGTACCAATGCAGGGGAGAAATAACATTATAAGAGAAGGGCCGTCTGCAGGGAACTCAGACATCTCTCTGTACAAAATAGGGGAAACAGTCCAAACCACCAGACTGCTCACATTCAAGGCTCTGCGGCCACAAACCCATTAAAGTGTTTACTCGAGCAGTGCTGACTGGTGCCACACTGGGACCAAGGGTTGGCTTGGCCTTGTTGTGTTAAACAAGGTTACACATATGAAGCAAAGCAGAGCAAAGTCGAGAGCCATGTCATTCATGAAAGGTGAGAAGAGTGAAGTAGAAACTTAGTGACAGAGCCATTGCACCAAACCATACGTTGTGCTGTGGTGCCCATGTGGATGACGAGTTTAGCTCTGGCCCGTAATATACACTAACATTCAAATGTTTGGGGTCAGAAGGATTTTTTGTTTGTTTGTTTCTTATGCTCACGAAAGCTGCATTTATCTGATCAGGAATACAGTAAAAAAAAAAAAAATATATATATATATAATATTACAATTTAAACTAACTCTTTTCTATTTTAATAATTTTTAAAATGTAATTTATTCCTGTGATGGAAAAGCTGAAATTTCAGCATCATTACTCCAGTCTTCAGTGTCACATGATCCTTCAGAAATCATTCTAATATGATTTGCTGCTCAAGAAACATTTCTTATTATTATCAATGTTGAAACTTATTATTATCAAAAACAGTTTTGCTGCTTAACATTTTTGTTGAAACAGTGATTTTTTTATTTTTCATGATTTTTTTAAAGTTCAAAAGAACAGTTTTTTAAAATAGAAATATTTCATGATATTATAAATGTCTTCACTGTCACTTTTGGTAAATTAAATTCATCCTTGCTGAATATATACTGACCCCAAACTTTTGAATGGTAGTTGTTTTTGTCCTCAGTTCTTTATTGGAGCAAGTTGGTTTAGTGTAACACACTCGGGTAGCTATTTTTTTTTAGTGATTCTCCAACCTTATTTCGCTCAAGTCAGGCTGATAAACTGTATTCTTTAGATTGATTTTGCTCATGTCCATGAAATGCATTACGGTGTATTGTTCTTAATCATGAAATATCTTCATTAATGTCTTTTCCTTCACATTTTACACATCAACAGTGCCAAAAATTGGGTAAATTAAATATTTCTGTTTTCAGTTAATCTTCAGTTAGCAAGCTAACAGCTTAGCCTACTAGCTTAGTATATAGCTGAGTGGTTGAGAATAACTCTTTTGATTAGTATATCACAATAGTGCTAAGTTTTTGCCATCCATGAAGAAAGATGCTTTTTGTACACACATAATGGTGTAGTTAAACCTTCAAACCATTGAATCTAGCCAAATCTTGACTCCCTGGACAATGCCTTTAGTAATGAGGCGACTGGTTAATTTAAAGGGGTCCTATTATGCTTTTTCACTTTTTCAACTTTAGTAAGGCAGGACATATCTTTCTATGAATGGTTAATCTCCTCCTCCTTAGACTGTCTCACAGCCAAAAATTTCCTGTCACTTGCTACTGTATCTAATAACGCCCCAAAATACCTCTGTTCTACAACACACTGACTTGAAATTACATCCGTATTCTCAAAACTGAGTCATATAGTGGCTGGAAAAACAGAGAATTACCATGAGTAAATCAGTCACTGGAATGCAATTCATAGTCCCGGTCCAGCAATCCGGGTTAACCAAGCACAATAAACTTGGTTTGGCTTAAGTGCTTTATGTATTTACTGCCCAACCACTACAATTTTCCATTACAATACTGATCTAACTTGCACAGTAATTCTGGGAATCACAGTTACCAGCACAAGCTGAGAGGCTGTTTTTATTTAAACAGGTGACAGCAATGATATATAATTAATTCACACCCAGAGCCAGTGTTTGTACAGCACAGTTTTACTCATGAGACTCTGTTTAAACTCAGAATCCGCTGGGCAAAGAAACTAACGGTGACTCATTACTATACCAGTTAACCTAATCAACTCTCTGTTTTCTGTTTACACATCAGAACAGCTTAGAGCAGTTTTAGAGAGCTTAAAGGACTAAATAACTGTTAGAGGTGAAAGCGGCGTAAAGATGAATCGAAATGCAGTACTGTGTGGAGTTCGTAAGACTGCAGCTGAGTTAAGTCATAGCTGATGAATGCAGATCATAATAATGCTACGTGTTCTCTACGCTTACAGTAGCGAAACACAACAGAAGAAAATTTTATAAGGAGTGAATATTCCTGTCAAAAGTCCTTGAGTTCAGCTGTGGTTTAGTTACACAGACAGCTTTACCTGGTTTGCTGCACTGCTTGTTTCCATGGAGATGGTGTAAGATTTTGCTGACCATTGTTTTTATTCTCCGTGAAAAAATACAGCTGAACTGAAAAAAAAGGGCAAAATAAAACATCATAATAGGATCAGATGGGTGTTGTACCAGATGCATAAATGTTGGTAGTGATTACCCATTTAGCATTATGGGAAATAATGACCTGCTCATAAATTTGTCGACATATCAGTCTCAATATGACAGGTACTTCTCATGGAGTTTCAGCATATAACAAACTTTTCCTAAATATTTGCTAAAAAATGGGTCACTAGGAGGGCAGTGAGGAAATGATCAGGTGCTACGGTGATTTTTGGATACTAAAATCTGAGACTAGGGATGGACAATATATCAATACCATATTGCCCATCTGGAATTTTTTTATTTTTATTTATTGACTGATACTGGATATTTAATTATGCTCATTTTCCTAATTTTAACATTTAAATCACCTTTACCATTATCTAACACTCACTTACAGTGTTTATTTATTTATTTATTTATATCTTATCTTAAACCTGGGAATAAACAACAGGTTTTGGGATTTTATATATTTTTTTATCTATTTATTATTATTTAAAAAAAAATTTATATTATGTTTATTATGTTTGGTACATTTTTCACAGGCACTGTTATACTGAAAAAAAAATAGCATTAATAGGAGGAATTTTGCGCTAATGGTCTCAGACTTTTGGACTCCACAGTATATCAAAGTATTATTGTCAAAGTAAATATCAAATTAACATACCGTATAATATAATGTTGTGAGACCTAAACTGACTAGCTTTTAAAACGATTGGTTATCATCATACAGAGCATGAAAATAATTATCAGCTTATTGGTGCCGGCCAGAATTGTAATATTATTGCCTCCCTATTTGAAATCACATTGAAAATCTTGGATTGGACATTTTATTTAAACTTGCTAATAAACATATAGTTTTTGGGATTTTAATAAATTTCACATTCATTTTTTAGTTAAATTTTTTAAAGAAACTGGTGCGCTGATAATATAGTTCATAATGAAAAAATACTACACTATATATCAAAATATCATCTGATACCTTCACTAAACACTAATAATTTTTAGTAATGCAGTAAAATGAACTGAGTGGTCACTCTTCTCCTTTGCAGTTTAATCATTGTAGTCTCTCATATTGGTGCTGAACGCTGAACGGTAAAATATGTTAGGGGAGGGTTTGAGAGTGCAGCTGAAATTACTGTTATTGATTTTAATGAATTTAGGCAGGGACAAGTAAAGCCCAGGCAGTCAGTCAATTACCACATCTTAAACAGAGTTCCCTCTTCCCTCTAATGCCCCCCCACGCCTCGAATAATTATCAGTTAATTTCCTGCCAGTCGACGTGCTGACAGGTAGGTGGCTATGTAAATCCACAGCATCCGAGGAAGGCTGCGATGACTGGCAAGCAATGGTGTGGACTTCTCAGATCGCATAGGCTCCAAGTTAACACATTATAATTAGAAAAAAAATTGCACACCATCAAAAACAAGCAAAACATATAAATAATCCCCGATTGGAGCTGTGACATAAATCGCCCTTCTGGCTCGTCAGAGGGTGCATGGAGCTCACACTGCTAAAGCAACTGTTGAGAAGATGAGAGCTGAGAAAGGTTGCTTTTTATCGGGCCCAAATTGGCTCTTTGAGAGCTGTGTCACAATAGGGGGTGGATTGCTTCAGACCTTCATACATCCCAGTCAAACACTCCCACAGATTGATCTGAAAACGGCCATAGATGATTGTAAGGGAGCAGCTGCCCACTTAAATTGGGCCACATCATGAGAAATGCAATTTGATCTTTTAAGATGCAAAAAAAAAAAAGGCTTGTCCTAAAATCCGTCAGATTCCTGAAACATTAACATAAGACCGCCCACATGTACAGAATCAGATCAAAATCACCTGTTGTGTGTTCAGAAGCAGGATGGATATTGTGTAGCACCTACAGCTCTGCATAGCCTTCTGACAAAGCCAAAGAGTGGCTGGTTAGAAAAGATTATCTTGTTAGTTTATTTAAGATCTCTGGTCATTCAGTCTCATACTATCAGTTTGCTTGGAATGGAAACCTGTTTATTAAAGGTACGGCAGCAAAAAATAAAAAAAGTATTTCCTTTCAACTTAAAAACCATGTCATTGAGTGGCTGTCAGACCACTTCCTCTCTGTCAAAATGTAAGCCCAGTGGTGATGTACACTCCTGAAGTGGGTCAGTCCAATCTGGATTTTATGGCACCGCTGTAAGAAATGGGTCCACTTTTTTTATTGGTCTACATTCTTCAGTGGCAGAATTTAGTCTGGAGGGCATTTCACGCTCATGAGTTTTTGGACCAAGTGTTTGAAGCGTTTACTGAGAGAGAAAAAAATCAGGTTATTACTATGTTTAGCATTTAGGGAGTGAGGCAGTTCAGATCAGATTAACTTAGGAGTTTATTAATGTATGCTGATTTTGAGCTTTTTTCAATCTTTTTCAGGTTGAATGTGGTTTGTGTTTGTTTACTATGTTGAACATTTTACTCCATTATGAAACAAACATAAAAACACTATTATTAGGAATTGTGTTTATTGTCATTTAGTTGCATATGCTGTCTGCGTTGTTTTATCATCGCTTCACTAAATGTTTACTGTGTAAACAAGCTTACGCTTTGCTCCTTAGTCAACACCACTAACTAGCAGAGCGGCAAATCTGTGTGATGAACTTAAGGGAAATCTGTGTTGGGAAATGTTTTGCCCTCAAACACATTTCTGGATTCAAAATGACTGGATTTCATCCATGAAAATATGTAG